TGTGTAAAAGCGTCTGTGTGCAAAAGCGTCTGTGTGCAAAAGCGTCTGTGTGTAAAAGCTTCTGTGTTTAAAAGCGTCTGTGTGTAAAGGGGTCTGTGTGTAAAAGCGTCTGTGTGTAAAAGCGTCTGTGTGCAAAAGCGTCTGTGTGTAAAAGCTTCTGTGTGTAAAAGCGTCTGTGTGTAAAAGTGTCTGTGTGTAAAAGCTTCTGTGTGTAAAAACGTCTGTGTGCAAAAGCTGCTGTGTGTAAAAGCGTCTGTGTGTAAAGGAGTCTGTGTGTAAAAGCGTCTATGTGTAAAGGAGTCTGTGTGCAAAAGCGTCTGTGTGTAAAAGCTTCTGTGTGTAAAAGCTTCTGTGTTTAAAAGCTTCTGTGTGTAAAAGTGTCTGTGTGTAAAAGCGTTTGTGTGTAAAGGAGTCTGTGCGTAAAAGCGTCTGTGTGTAAAAGTGTCTGTGTGTAAAAGCTTCTGTGCGTAAAAACGTCTGTGTGCAAAAGCTGCTGTGTGTAAATGCGTCTGTGTGTAAAGGAGTCTGTGTGTAAAAGCGTCTATGTGTAAAGTGTAAAGGAGTCTGTGTGCAAAAGCGTCTGTGTGTAAAAGCTTCTGTGTGTAAAAGCTTCTGTGTTTAAAAGCTTCTGTGTGTAAAAGCGTCTGTGTGTAAAATGGTCTTTGTGTAAAGGAGTCTGTGTGTAAAAGCGTCTGTGTGTAAAGGAGTCTGTGTGTAAAAGTGTCTGTGTATTTATAAAAGCGTCTGTGTGTAAAAGCTTCTGTGTGTAAAAGCATCTCTGTATAAAAGCGTCGCGTTTCTTCACATCCGAGGAATGATGGTACCGAGCTTTTTCGGCAATGCGTGTAGGAATTACATGGAATTACCATAGTAAAATGAGATAACACATGTCATTCGCAGCATCATGGTACCGAGCCTCCTGTGCACTTTTGTTGCTCACATTATATTTCTCCATGTTTTCTTTCTATCTCCCTTTCCTTCTCTCTCTCTCTCTCTCTCCCTCCCCCTCTCTCTCTCTCTCTCTCTCTCTCACCCTCTCCCTCTTTCTCTCTCTCTCTCACCCTCTCCCTCTTTCTCTCTCTCCGTCTCCCTCTGTCTCTCTCTATCTATGTCTCTCTGTGGTTGCAAGACACGTGTCATCTGATGCCCTTTACCAAATATCCTCTTCTTAATCAATCTTACTTTTCACGCCTTATCCCTCCATAGCTCATATAAAATTCACCAACCATTCACCGACTATCTTTTACGACTACCATCCTCAGAGCTGCTTGAAAAACATCTTTTTCGCTCTCGGGCCAACCGTCGTTTAGTTTGACTGCAGATGCTGAGGTTTTTCATTCTGCTTACAGTATCTTGCCTGCAGCTTCACCATGCCCCGGCTTCCCAGTGTGTCCAAGCAGCCGATGGATTAGTTTCCCAGAGCTATTGGTCGAATTTCCCATAAACATGCCCTTGAACTTCCACTTCCTCGGTCAGTATTCAGTGATCTCCATGAGATCACCAGAATCCCTATTGAAACATTTGAAACATCCTTGGGACACCTAAACTAGTAACCTGATTATATACCAAAAATAAAAATAGAAGTAATCTGATAGTTTTGCCACTATGGCCCCACACTTCCTCCCACGCGCTTGATCCGGTGAGGTTGGATTGCTGGTGGGCACCATGGCTCAGACCAAAGCAGGGCCAGAGATCAAGGAAGCGAACACAGATCGCTTGGCGCCCATTGCCTATGGACCCGATGGCTGGGGAAGGGCACCAAAGGATCCAGAGGCACCAAGGGATTTGTAGGAAAGGCACCGGGTGAATTCCCCAACCGTCCCAAACTGGTTGCAGCAGGACCCGATACTCCGCAGTATGGACAGATGGATAAGGCCAACGGCTGGAGGGTGTCATAAGGGCAGTCCAAAAATGAAGAGAATCGATTTATGCTGACCAACCGGTACCAGCACAAGATTCGTATACAAGCGTTTGCCGTATCGAAAAGAGGTTTCCATCAACTTCGGAAAGAGAGGGAGGGAGTGCGTGTGGTTGCAGCGAAGGGCATTTCATTTCAGGTACAGAATTGGATTCTGCCCATTTTTCTATATTTTTCCAAGGTTCCTTATTACCACTAGCATCCCGTGGCACATCATATGGTGGTGTGTAGTGCCCCATCACTTCCTCGCGACCAGAACTATCGTGGCCTTCCGTTGCACTTTGAGCTCTCACCGTGGCCGCCGGAACCAGGTGTTATGCACTTGTCTCACTTGTCTCGGATGCCTGCAAGACCTTGTGTGTGTGTGTCACCATGTGTCACCGTGTGTCACCATGTGTCACCATGTGTCACTGGATTTGCAGGCTATCCAGTCTGCAAGACCCTTTGGGGCTTTCCTGGCAAAACCACCGCCTCTTAGTTGCATTTGGGCCATTTGGGGTCAACTTGGATCATGTCGCATCATCCCATGTCATCCCTCCCAGGATCGGTTAAAGATATGAAAACAATGTGTTAGAACCCCTCTGCATTTGGAGGTAAAAAATGCATGGTTTCAAGGTGAATCAACCCATTGAATCTGGCATCCACATACCATCCACATAGATCCCACAGGGCATATCGACTGCATCGATGTCAGGAGGACAGTATGAGTATCCTGGACTTGGCGATTTTAGCCTTTGCGAGTTCCATGTGGGATGAGCGGGCCATTCGGTGGGGCTGCCCAGTGGAAAACAAGGTGGGCCAGAGAACCCAAAAGCAAGACGGCACACAGCACGCCTCTTTTTGAAAATCTTGTGGTGTGGGCAGCTGTGCTCTGCACGAAATCGACGTAAGATCTTTACTGAAACATCGTGTGCACTGATGGCATCAGGGGCCACAATCCACCACAGCATGCTGTGCCAGCTACGTCTACATTCTTCTAGTCGCTGTTTCTGCTAGATTTATATAATCACATATTAAATCTATCCCATCTTTCTAGTCGCTATTTATTCCTGGGTTCTCGTTTAGTTTGCTTTGCTGCAGAGGGAGCGAGGACGAAGCGTGGACGGACAGAACACGGAGTTGACCAAACGAGCATGAAAACGAAGATATGAAGATGACAAATGGTGAATGGTCATGAAAAATGAGACACGATGAAAGATGGGTCAAGACTTCTCTGTACAAAAGCTTATATGCGTAAAAGCTACTGTGTGTAAACGCGTCTGTGCGGACAAGTTTCTTTGTGTTCCTCTGTGTATTTTTTTTGCGTAAAAGCTTCTGTATGTAAAAGCTTCCGTGGGTAAAAAACTTCTCTGTGTAAAGTTATTTTTTGTGTAAAAGCTTCTGTGTGTAAAAGCTTCTGTGTAAAACGTCCTCTGTGTGTAAAAGTTTCTGATTGTGAAAGTTTCTGTTTGTGAAAGTTTCTGTTTGTGAAAGTTTCTTTGCGTAACAGCTTCTATCTGTAAAAGCTCCTCTGTGTTAAGGTTTTGTTTGTGTAAAAGCTTCTGTGTGTAAAAGCTTCTCTGTGTAAAAGACTTCTGTGTCAAAGCCTCTGAGTGTACAAGTTTCTCTGTGTAAAAGTTCCTCTGTGTAAAAGCTGCTCTGTGTAAAAGGCTTCTCTGTGTAAAAGCCTCTGTGTGTGCAAGCTTCTCTGTGTCAAGACTTCTTTGTGTAAAGATTTCTCTATGTAAAAGCTACTCTGTGTAAAGGTTCTGCGTGTAAAAGCTTTCCTGCGTAAACGCCTCCGTGTGAAAAAACTCCTGTGTGTAAACCCGTCTGTGTGTAAAAGCACCTTTGTGTAAAGGCTTTTTTTGTGTAAAAGCTTCTGTGCAAAAGCTTCTGTGGGTAAAAGTTTCTGCGTGTAAAAGCTTCTGTGTGTAAAAGTTTCTGTGTGTAAAAGCTTCTGTGTATTAAAAAATCCTTATGCAAAAGCTTGTGTGTATAAAAGACCCCCTGTGTGTACAAGCTTCGCTGCGTAAAAGCTGCTCTATGTAAAAGTTCAGTGCGCCGTAAAGTTGTCTGTTTGTAAAACCTTCTGTGTGTGAACGCGTCTGTGTGTACAAGATTCTGTGTGCAAAAGCTCCTCTGTGTAAAGACTTCTCTGATCTTCTCTGTGTAAACGCGTCTGTGCGTACGGGTTCCTCTGTGTAAAGACTTCTCTCGCGTCTGTGCGTAAAAGCTTCTCTGTCTAAGACTTCTCTGGATAAAAGCTACTTTGTGCAAATGGTTTTTTTGCGTAAAAGGCTTCTGTGTGTAAAAGTTCCTCTGTGTAAAGGCTTCTCTGTGTAAACGCGTCTGTGCGTAAAAGCTCCTCTGTGTAAGACTTGGTGTAAAAAGCTTCTGTGTGTAAAAGTTTCCTTGTGCAAAAGCTCCTGCGTATAAGAACTTCTCTGTGTAAAGGCTTTTTTGTGTAAACGCCTCTGTGTGTACAAGCTGCTCTGTGGAAAAGTTTCTGCGCGCCGAAAGAGCCTCTATTTTTAAAACCTTCTGTGTGTAAAGTGCAACCGTGTCTGTGTGTAAAAGCTTCTGTGTTTAAATCTCCTTTGTGTAAAAGCTTCTCTGTGTAAAAGCTCCTCTGTGTCAAGACTTCTCTGTATAAAAGGCTCCTCTCTGTACAAGCCTTTGTGTGTACAGGCTTCTCTGTGTCAAGACTTCTCTGTGTAAAAGCTACTCTGTGCAAAAAAACTTCTGTGTGTAAGAGCTTCTCTGTGCGTAAACGTTCTTTGTGTGTAAAAACTTTGTGCAAAACTCCTCTGTGTAAAGACTTATCTGTGCAAACCCGTTTGCGCGTAAAAGCTCCTCTGTGTAAGACTTATCGGTGTAAAAAGCTTGTGTGTGTGTGTGAAAGTTTCTGTGTGCAAAAGCTTTCCTGTGTAAAAGTTTCCTTGTGCAAAGACCTCTGTGTGTAAAATCTTCTCTGTGTAAAGGCTTCTTTGTGTAAAAGCTTCTGTGTGTAAAAGCTGCCCTGTGTAAAAGTTTCAGTGCGCCGTAAACGCTTCTGTGTGTAAAACTTCCTGTGTGTAAACGCGTCTGTGTGTAAAAGTTTCTGTGTGTAAATTTCCTTTGTGTAAGGACTTCTCTGTGTAAAAGCTCCTCTGTGCCAAGACTTCTCTGTATAAAAGGCTTCTCTCTGTAAAAGCCTTTGTGTGTACAGGCTTCTCTGTCTCAAGACCTCTCTGTGTCAAGACTTCTCTGTGTAAAAGCTACTCTGTGCAAAGAGGCTTCTGTGCGTAAAGGCTTCGGTGTGTAAACGCGTCCTTGTGTCAAGACTCCTCTGTGTAAACGCGTCTGTGTGTCAAAGTTTCTGTGTAAAGGCTTTTTAGTGGAAAAACTTCTGAGTGTAAAAGCTTCTGTGTGTAAGAGCTTCTCTGTGCGTAACCGTTTTTTGTGTGTAAAAACTTCGTGTGCAAAAACTCCTCTGTGTAAAGACTTATATCTGTGCAAACCCGTTTGTGCCTAAAAGCTACTCTGTGTAAGACTTCGGTGTAAAAAGCTTGTGTGTGTGAAAGTTTCTGTGTGTAAAAGCTTTCCTGCGTAAAAGTTTCCTTGTGCAAAAGCCTCTGTGTGTGTAAAATCTTCTCTGTGTATAGCGCCGGACAACTACTTAGAACATCGTTTTGGAAATTTTTCGGTGGGTACGCGCCCTCTACTTAGAACATTTTCGGCGAATAGGGGACGTATGTTCTAAGTGACTTAGAACATATGAGGATCCTCTACTTAGAACACGCCATCATATATACATGTAAATATATGTATATGTATACATACATACAACTTAACACTGCATATTTATATTATATATACAGGAGGTGTGATGTTGCGTCAATTCGGGCGGAGTCTTGGTGACCAAGAAGCACAACGCTGGAAAGGAGGTCATCCTCCATGGGGACTCTGGTGGGTGTTTGATTAATTGGGATGGGATTCATATTATACAGGTTTGGAAAGTTTTTATTATATGAATATATAGTGCCGGACAACTACAATATTCAAAATATATTATATATACACAGGATTTTCCAAAATGCACGTAGATAGCTGGAGGGATTCTTACTTAGAACATGGAGGAACCCCAAAACCTCTGTATATATATATATATAGCGATGTACATACGATTCTAACATCAGGTTTGGAAAGTTTTTATTATATGAATATATAGTGCCGGACAACTACAATATTCAAAATATATTATATATACACAGGATTTTCCAAAATGCACGTAGATAGCTGGTGGGATTCTTACTTAGAACATGGAGGAACCCCCAAAACCTCTGTGTATATATATATATATAGCGATGTACATACGATTCGAACATCAGGTTTGGAAAGTTTTTATTATATGAATATATAGTGCCGGACAACTACAATATTCAAAATATATTATATATACACAGGATTTTCCAAAATGCACGTAGATAGCTGGTGGGATTCTTACTTAGAACATGGAGGAACCCCCAAAACCTCTGTATATATATATATAGCGATGTACATACGATTTGAACATCAGGTTTGGAAAGTTTTTATTATATGAATATATAGTGCCGGACAACTACAATATTCAAAATATATTATATATACACAGGATTTTCCAAAATGCACGTAGATAGCTGGTGGGATTCTTACTTAGAACATGGAGGAACCCCCAAAACCTCTGTGTATATATATATAGCGATGTACATACGATTCGAACATCAGGTTTGGAAAGTTTTTATTCTATGAATATATAGTGCCGGACAACTACAATATTCAAAATATATTATATATACACAGGGGATTTCCAACAAATGCAGTAGATGCTTTGGGGCTTCTTTACTTCGAACATGGAGGAAACCCCCCAAAACGCTGTTGCAATCTATATATATACGAAATGTTACATACGATTCGAAACATCAGGGGTTGGAAGTTTTTATTAGACGTTGAAAGGACGGAATTCGGCAAATGCATATGAAACAATGTAGGCGGATCAAACTTTTTCAATATTCAAAATATATATATATTACACGGATTCCAAAATGCACGTAGATAGCTGGTGGGATTCTTACTTAGAACATGGAGGAACCCCCAAAACCTCTGTGTATATATATAGAGCGATGTACATACGATTCGAACATCAGGTTTGGAAAGTTTTTATTATATGAATATATAGTGCCGGACAACTACAATATTCAAAAAATATTATATATACACAGGATTTTCCAAAATGCACGTAGATAGCTGGTGGGATTCTTACTTAGAACATGGAGGAACCCCCAAAACCTCTGTGTATATATATATATATAGCGATGTACATACGATTCGAACATCAGGTTTGGAAAGTTTTTATATGAATATATAGTGCCGGACAACTACCATATTCAAAATATATTATATATACACAGGATTTTCCAAAATGCACGTAGATAGCTGGTGGGATTCTTACTTAGAACATGGAGGAACCCCCAAAACCTCTGTGTATATATATATAGAGATGTACATACGATTCGAACATCAGGGTTGGAAAGTTTTTATTATATGAATATATAGTGCCGGACAACTCCACACCCCCCCAAATAATATCAAAAAAATTATATATACACAGGATTTTCAAAAGAATGCAGTAGATAGCTGGTGGGATTCTAACTTTGAGAAACATGGAGAACCCCCCCCAAAACCTCTGTGTATATATATATATAGCGATGTACATACGATTCGAACATCAGGTTTGGAAAGTTTTTATTATATGAATATATAGTGCCG